TGATGATGATGATGATGATGATGATGATGATGATGATGATGATGATGATGATGATGATGATGATGATGATGATGATGATGATGATTTGGATGATGATGATGATGATGATGATGATGATGATGATGATGATGATGATGATGATGATGATGATGATGATGATGATGATGATGATGATGATGATGATGATGATGATGATGATGATGATGATGATGATTTGGATGATGATGATGATGATGATGATGATGATGATGATGATGATGATGATGATGATGATGATGATGATGATGATTTGGATGATGATGATGATGATGATGATGATGATGATGATGATGATGATGATGATGATGATGATGATGATGATGATTTGGATGATGATGATGATGATGATGATGATGATGATGATGATGATGATGATGATGATGATGATGATGATGATGATGATGATGATGATGATGATGATGATGATGATGATGATTTGGATGATGATGATGATGATGATGATGATGATGATGATGATGATGATGATGATGATGATGATGATGATTTGGATGATGATGATGATGATGATGATGATGATGATGATGATGATGATGATGATGATGATGATGATGATGATGATGATGATGATGATGATGATGATGATGATGATGATGATTTGGATGATGATGATGATGATGATGATGATGATGATGATGATGATGATGATTTGGATGATGATGATGATGATTTGGATGATGATGATGATGATTTGGATGATGATGATGATGATGATGATGATGATGATGATGATGATGATGATTTGGATGATGATGATGATGATGATGATGATGATGATGATGATGATGATGATGATGATGATGATGATGATGATGATGATGATGATGATTTGGATGATGATGATGATGATGATGATGATGATGATGATGATGATGATGATGATGATGATGATGATGATGATGATGATGATGATGATGATGATGATGATGATGATGATGATGATGATGATGATTTGGATGATGATGATGATGATGATGATGATGATGATGATGATGATGATGATGATGATGATGATGATGATGATGATTTGGATGATGATGATGATGATGATGATGATGATGATGATGATGATGATGATGATGATGATGATGATGATGATGATGATGATGATGATGATGATGATGATGATGATGATTTGGATGATGATGATGATGATGATGATGATGATGATGATGATGATGATGATGATGATGATGATGATGATGATGATGATGATGATGATGATGATGATGATGATGATGATGATGATTTGGATGATGATGATGATGATGATGATGATGATGATGATGATGATGATGATGATGATGATGATGATGATGATGATGATGATGATGATGATGATGATGATGATGATTTGGATGATGATGATGATGATGATGATGATGATGATGATGATGATGATGATGATGATGATGATGATGATGATGATGATGATGATGATGATGATGATGATGATGATGATGATGATGATGATGATTTGGATGATGATGATGATGATGATGATGATGATGATGATGATGATGATGATGATGATGATGATGATGATGATGATGATGATGATGATGATGATGATGATGATGATGATGATGATGATGATGATGATGATGATTGGATGATGATGATGATGATGATGATGATGATGATGATGATGATGATGATGATGATGATGATGATGATGATGATGATGATGATGATGATGATGATGATGATGATGATGATGATGATGATGATGATGATGATGATGATGATGATGATGATGATGATGATGATGATGATGATGATGATGATGATGATGATGATGATGATGATGATGATGATGATGATGATGATGATGATGATGATGATGATGATGATGATGATGATGATGATGATGATGATGATGATGATGATGATGATGATGATGATGATGATGATGATGATGATGATGATGATGATGATGATGATGATGATGATGATGATGATGATGATGATGATGATGATGATGATGATGATGATGATGATGATGATGATGATGATGATGATGATGATGATGATGATGATGATGATGATGATGATGATGATGATGATGATGATTTGGATGATGATGATGATGATGATGATGATGATGATGATGATGATGATGATGATGATGATGATGATGATGATGATGATGATGATGATGATGATGATGATGATGATGATGATGATGATGATGATGATGATGATGATGATGATGATGATGATGATGATGATGATGATGATGATGATGATGATGATGATGATGATGATGATATGATGATGATGATGATGATGATGATGATGATGATGATGATGATGATGATGATGATGATGATGATGATGATGATGATGATGATGATGATGATGATGATGATGATGATGATGATGATGATGATGATGATGATGATGATGATGATGATGATGATGATGATGATGATGATGATGATGATGATGATGATGATGATGATGATGATGATGATGATGATGATGATGATGATGATGATGATGATGATGATGATGATGATGATGATGATGATGATGATGATGATGATGATGATGATGATGATGATGATGATGATGATGATGATGATGATGATGATGATGATGATGATGATGATGATGATGATGATGATGATGATGATGATGATGATGATGATGATGATGATGATGATGATGATGATGATGATGATGATGATGATGATGATGATGATGATGATGATGATGATGATGATGATGATGATGATGATGATGATGATGATGATGATGATGATGATGATGATGATGATGATGATGATGATGATGATGATGATGATGATGATGATGATGATGATGATGATGATGATGATGATGATGATGATGATGATGATGATGATGATGATGATGATGATGATGATGATGATGATGATGATGATGATGATGATGATGATGATGATGATGATGATGATGATGATGATGATGATGATGATGATGATGATGATGATGATGATGATGATGATGATGATGATGATGATGATGATGATGATGATGATGATGATGATGATGATGATGATGATGATGATGATGATGATGATGATGATGATGATGATGATGATGATGATGATGATGATTGGATGATGATGATGATGATGATGATGATGATGATGATGATGATGATGATGATGATGATGATGATGATGATGATGATGATGATGATTGATGATGATGATGATGATGATGATGATGATGATGATGATGATGATGATGATGATGATGATGATGATGATGATGATGATGATGATGATGATGATGATGATGATGATGATGATGATGATTGATGATGATGATGATGATGATGATGATGATGATGATGATGATGATGATGATGATGATTTGATGATGATGATGATGATTTGATTGATTGATGATGATGATGATGATGATGATGATGATGATGATGATGATGATGATGATGATGATGATGATGATGATGATGATGATGATGATGATGATGATGATGATGATGATGATGATGATGATGATGATGATGATGATGATGATGATGATGATGATGATGATGATGATGATGATGATGATGATGATGATGATGATGATGATGATGATGATGATGATGATGATGATGATGATGATGATGATGATGATGATGATGATGATGATGATGATGATGATGATGATGATGATGATGATGATGATGATGATGATGATGATGATGATGATGATGATGATGATGATGATGATGATGATGATGATGATGATGATGATGATGATGATGATGATGATGATGATGATGATGATGATGATGATGATGATGATGATGATGATGATGATGATGATGATGATGATGATGATGATGATGATGATGATGATGATGATGATGATGATGATGATGATGATGATGATGATGATGATGATGATGATGATGATGATGATGATGATGATGATGATGATGATGATGATGATGATGATGATGATGATGATGATGATGATGATGATGATGATGATGATGATGATGATGATGATGATGATGATTTGGATGATGATGATGATGATGATGATGATGATGATGATGATGATGATGATGATGATGATGATGATGATGATGATGATGATGATGATGATGATGATGATGATGATGATGATGATGATGATGATGATGATGATGATGATGATGATGATGATGATGATGATGATGATGATGATGATGATGATGATGATGATGATGATGATGATGATGATGATGATGATGATGATGATGATGATTTGGATGATGATGATGATGATGATGATGATGATGATGATGATGATGATGATGATGATGATGATGATGATGATGATGATGATGATGATGATGATGATGATGATGATGATGATGATGATGATGATGATGATGATTTGGATGATGATGATGATGATGATGATGATGATGATGATGATGATGATGATGATGATGATGATGATGATGATGATGATGATGATGATTTGGATGATGATGATGATGATGATGATGATGATGATGATGATGATGATGATGATGATGATGATGATGATGATGATGATGATGATGATGATGATGATGATGATGATGATGATGATGATGATGATGATGATGATGATGATGATGATGATGATGATGATGATGATGATGATGATGATGATGATGATGATGATGATGATGATGATGATTTGATGATGATGATGATGATGATGATGATGATGATGATGATGATGCGATGATGATGATGATGATGATGATGATGATGATGATGATGATGATGATGATGATGATGATGATGATGATGATGATGATGATGATGATGATGATGATGATGATGATGATGATGATGATGATGATGATGATGATGATGATGATGATGATGATGATGATGATGATGATGATGATGATGATGATGATGATGATGATGATGATGATGATGATGATGATGATGATGATGATGATGATGATGATGATGATGATGATGATGATGATGATGATGATGATTGATGATGATGATGATGATGATGATGATGATGATGATGATGATGATGATGATGATGATGATGATGATGATGATGATGATGATGATGATGATGATGATGATGATGATGATGATGATGATGATGATGATGATGATGATGATGATGATGATTGATGATGATGATGATGATGATGATGATGATGATGATGATGATGATGATGATGATGATGATGATGATGATGATGATGATGATGATGATGATGATGATGATGATGATGATGATGATGATGATGATGATGATGATGATGATGATGATGATGATGATGATGATGATGATGATGATGATGATGATGATGATTTGATGATGATGATGATGATGATGATGATGATGATGATGATGATGATGATGATGATGATGATGATGATGATGATGATGATGATGATGATGATGATGATGATGATGATGATGATGATGATGATGATTTGGATGATGATGATGATGATGATGATGATGATGATGATGATGATGATGATGATGATGATTGATGATGATGATGATGATTGATGATGATGATGATGATGATGATGATGATGATGATGATGATGATGATGATGATGATGATGATGATGATGATGATGATGATGATGATGATGATGATGATGATGATGATGATGATGATGATGATGATGATGATGATGATGATGATGATGATGATGATGATGATGATGATGATGATGATGATGATGATGATGATGATGATGATGATGATTATGATGATGATGATGATGATGATGATGATGATGATGATGATGATGATGATGATGATGATGATGATGATGATGATGATGATGATGATGATGATGATGATGATGATGATGATGATGATGATGATGATGATGATGATGATGATGATGATGATGATGATGATGATGATGATGATGATGATGATGATGATGATGATGATGATGATGATGATGATGATGATGATGATGATGATGATGATGATGATGATGATTGATGATGATGATGATGATGATGATGATGATGATGATGATGATGATGATGATGATGATGATGATGATGATGATGATGATGATGATGATGATGATGATGATGATGATGATGATGATGATGATGATGATGATGATGATGATGATGATGATGATGATGATGATGATGATGATGATGATGATGATGATGATGATGATGATGATGATGATGATGATGATGATGATGATGATGATGATGATGATGATGATGATGATGATGATGATGATGATGATGATGATGATGATGATGATGATGATGATGATGATGATGATGATGATGATGATGATGATGATGATGATGATGATGATGATGATGATGATGATGATGATGATGATGATGATGATGATGATGATGATGATGATGATTTGGATGATGATGATGATGATGATGATGATGATGATGATGATGATGATGATGATGATGATGATGATGATGATGATGATGATGATGATGATGATTTGGATGATGATGATGATGATGATGATGATGATGATGATGATGATGATGATGATGATGATGATGATGATGATGATGATGATGATGATGATGATTGATGATGATGATGATGATGATGATGATGATGATGATGATGATGATGATGATGATGATGATGATGATGATGATGATGATGATGATGATGATGATGATGATGATGATGATGATGATGATGATGATGATGATGATGATGATGATGATGATGATGATGATGATGATGATGATGATGATGATGATGATGATGATGATGATGATGATGATGATGATGATTGGATGATGATGATGATGATGATGATGATGATGATGATGATGATGATGATGATGATGATGATGATGATGATGATGATGATTTGGATGATGATGATGATGATGATGATGATGATGATGATGATTTGGATGATGATGATGATGATGATGATGATGATGATGATGATGATGATGATGATGATGATGATGATGATGATGATGATGATGATGATGATGATGATTTGGATGATGATGATGATGATGATGATGATGATGATGATGATGATGATGATGATGATGATGATGATGATGATGATGATGATGATGATGATGATGATGATGATGATGATGATGATGATGATGATGATGATGATGATGATGATTTGGATGATGATGATGATGATGATGATGATGATGATTTGGATGATGATGATGATGATGATGATGATGATGATGATGATGATGATGATGATGATGATGATGATGATGATGATGATGATGATGATGATGATGATGATGATGATGATGATGATGATGATGATGATGATGATGATGATGATGATGATGATGATTTGGATGATGATGATGATGATGATGATGATGATGATGATGATGATGATGATTTGGATGATGATGATGATGATGATGATGATGATGATTTGGATGATGATGATGATGATGATGATGATGATGATGATGATGATGATGATGATGATGATGATGATGATGATGATGATGATGATGATGATGATGATGATGATGATGATGATGATGATGATGATTTGGATGATGATGATGATGATGATGATGATGATGATGATGATGATGATGATGATGATGATGATGATGATGATGATGATGATGATGATGATGATGATGATGATGATGATGATGATGATGATGATGATGATGATGATGATGATGATGATGATGATGATGATGATGATGATGATGATGATGATGATGATGATGATGATGATGATGATGATGATGATGATGATGATGATGATGATGATGATGATGATGATGATGATTGGATGATGATGATGATGATGATGATGATGATGATGATGATGATGATGATGATGATGATGATGATGATGATGATGATTTGGATGATGATGATGATGATGATGATGATGATGATGATGATGATGATGATGATGATGATGATGATGATGATGATGATGATGATGATGATGATGATGATGATGATGATGATGATGATGATGATGATGATGATGATGATGATGATGATGATGATGATGATGATGATGATGATGATGATGATGATGATTTGGATGATGATGATGATGATGATGATGATGATGATGATGATGATGATGATGATGATGATGATGATGATGATGATGATGATGATGATGATGATGATGATGATGATGATGATGATGATGATGATGATGATGATGATTTGGATGATGATGATGATGATGATGATGATGATGATGATGATGATGATGATGATGATGATGATGATGATGATGATGATGATGATGATGATGATTTGGATGATGATGATGATGATGATGATGATGATGATGATGATGATGATGATGATGATGATGATGATGATGATGATGATGATGATGATGATGATGATGATGATGATGATGATGATGATGATGATGATGATGATGATGATGATGATGATGATTTGGATGATGATGATGATGATGATGATGATGATGATGATGATGATGATGATGATGATGATGATGATGATGATGATGATGATGATGATGATGATGATGATGATGATGATGATGATGATGATGATGATGATTTGGATGATGATGATGATGATGATGATGATGATGATGATGATGATGATGATGATGATGATTTGGATGATGATGATGATGATGATGATTTGGATGATGATGATGATGATGATGATGATGATGATGATGATGATGATGATGATGATGATGATGATGATGATGATGATGATGATGATGATGATGATGATGATGATGATGATGATGATGATGATGATGATTTGGATGATGATGATGATGATTTGGATGATGATGATGATGATGATGATGATGATGATGATGATGATGATGATGATGATGATGATGATGATGATGATGATGATGATGATGATGATGATGATGATGATGATTTGGATGATGATGATGATGATTTGGATGATGATGATGATGATGATGATGATGATGATGATGATGATGATGATGATGATGATGATGATGATGATGATGATGATGATGATGATGATGATGATGATGATTTGGATGATGATGATGATGATGATGATGATGATGATGATGATGATGATGATGATGATGATGATGATGATGATGATGATGATGATGATGATGATGATGATTTGGATGATGATGATGATGATGATGATGATGATGATGATGATGATGATGATGATGATGATGATGATGATGATGATGATGATGATGATGATGATGATGATGATGATGATGATGATGATGATGATGATGATGATGATGATGATGTGATGATGATGATGATGATGATGATGATGATGATGATGATGATGATGATGATGATGATGATTTGGATGATGATGATGATGATGATGATGATTTGGATGATGATGATGATGATGATGATGATGATGATGATGATGATGATGATGATGATGATGATGATGATGATGATGATTTGGATGATGATGATGATGATGATGATGATGATGATGATGATGATGATGATGATGATGATGATGATGATGATGATGATGATGATGATGATGATGATGATGATGATGATGATGATGATGATGATGATGATGATGATGATGATGATGATGATGATGATGATGATGATGATGATGATGATTTGGATGATGATGATGATGATGATGATGATGATGATGATGATTTGGATGATGATGGTGATGATACATTACCACAAGACTAAGATACTATTCAGTCATTATGGTACAAAACTACAAGTTTTGATATCATGAATTTTGCTATTCAATAAGTGATTGTTTCCGCTGGTTGACACATATTCCTTTCATATTTACATAGGCATAATGATTGATTAATATTATGTTTACTGAATGGTTAATGTTTATTGATTTCCCTTAATTAAGTTACAAATGGTTTATAGTTTAATTGTACATTATTTTTCAATGATCAAGTTACCTGGCAGTAACTATGTAACTTGGAATTGTTGCTAATTGACAACATGAAAAAGAACCGTAATGAAATATCATAAACGAGTTTTAAATTCATTTAGTATTGTTTGTTTGAATCTTCCCATTGATGTTTAGGACTGCAACTGATCAGTTTTTAATTGACATATGTGCATACTGTTCGTATTGCTTCGATATAGCTTTAATTCACAAGCATTGTAAGCAAAGATGAATAGTGGCTAGCAGTGGAATCCAGGACGCGCATCACTTCGTCCTATTTAGTCTTCGTCAATTACAGTCCTAAACAATAATGGAAAGATTCAAACAAACAATACCAAATGCATTGTAACTTGAACCCATCGCACAAACAAGTGGCTATCAGCACTCGATAGTTAAGTGGATAAAGTGATGAAATTTGAAGTGAACGGTACTGGGTTCGTAGTTACAGAGTGAACACCAACTCTGAGATGAAGGTACATCCAGCTGACAAATTCCAAATGGGACGAAATGACGCGAGTTCTGGATTCCACTACTAGCCACTATCCATCTTTGCTTATAAGCTCGTTTGATTTTATTAGGTTTTCTTTAGCCTTTATGTCTTGTGAACTTATGCCTTATTAGTGTATAATGTAATGAGAACAATGACTTGTCGATCAGACTAATGATGCATAAAGCTCATACTAGTAGTTTAGAGTTCTTATCAGTCCTTATTACTGACTAGCCCTACCAGCTGAGCTCAGCCTCTACTATATGAATCTTGTATTTCAAATATACTGGGTTTATATATAAGCAAACCAGACCATATCACACCATAAAAAAGGAAATAGAATTTGTTCAAGATCTAGCCAAATGTAGCTGTGAATGTGAGAGATTGTAATTTGATAGACTGGGCATAACTGAAGGACGGTAAATCGTATATTAATAGTCTATGGGTCAAATAGAAGCTTATAATAAGAGGAATATGAATATACATAGTTTAGTTACTTAGCAATTACACAATAAAAATATAAGTATAGTATTAGTAGTCCATCAATGGTTCCTAACAATAACCATCCACTATTCTCATTAGGATAGAACACATTCTACAATGCTGATCATAATAAAAGATCAAATGGCATAATTTAAGGATACGCACTTCTGAGGAGTCCCACAGTATGACGAAACGGTCGTTCAGTGCTACCAGGTTTTCCATAATAGTCTAGCTTCAATTAACTCATGATTTCAACTATATAAAATTACTAAAATTTCCATAAAACCCCCTTCTGATAATGATTCTCTAATCAAACAATGATGGCAATATTTAGGAAAAAGCTGAATGACAGCTTAGTTAGTTGAATATAAAATGATTGAGTTGAAGGGAGGTCTTTAAAAAAAGCTTAGTAACAATGTAATTGATTAAGACCAAGATCTAAAAAGCATTTTATGGTTAAAAACAATAGTTTATATTATTGAAGCATAGGCAAACACTAACGAATGTTTCACTTTGAATACCTAAATGAGGTTGTTTTAACGCCTGATAGCAGTAGCTTCAATGAATTCCCAGAAAAAGTGGAAATCAGCTGTTTGTTTATCAAGAAGTATTTCCTGGAGTTCTAGTGAGAAACAGTGATCGGTGGATTTCAACCAGGTCTGTTATGAGATAGTAGCACA